ACACATATATATGTGTATTGTATATATACAAACACAACTTTTTAGACACACACAAAAATCATGACAAACCTTAATTTGTTTCTAACGCTGTCCCACGGCCATAAAGAGGATTGAAACGAAGCAGGATCCTTCGTATCTTCTTCATTCTTCTCATTACCCTCCAATTGCTCCTTTTTTACCTCCTCACCGTTTGTTTTACTAAAGTCAATCTTTTGAGCAATTTTTGCCAAGTTCTCCGATAAGGTGAGAGGTCTGTAGCATAATTAATAAAGTAAAACTGATATGAAATCTTATCCCCTTCGATAAAACTAGGGTTAATTATAAGACGTAAGACGTATTTAACAGCAGACAATAATTCCATTAATCGAGCATCTTTACTATATTCTCTCTGTTGACAAGAAAATTCGTTTACGTACGCTTGGTAAATTTCTTGGCCATCGTAAGTGATTTCCTGTATTTGATTCTCAATCGGCGCTTCTACGGAAATGTTCACAGAATACGCCATTATTGTTTTCATACCTCTTCATACATTCTAAAGCCCATTTCACATACAAAAACGTAAAGCGGGGAGCACAGACTTTTGCATAACGCATAACATGTAATGCATAAGAAATTTAATCAATCAGAATTCTTTATTTCATGGAAAGGAAGGAAACGGAGGGCTTTGATTGGTACATTTTCTTATGCATTACGTGTTATGCGTTATGCAAGAGTCTGTGCTCCCCGCTTAATGCGTGGTCTACAATGGGCAGTAGCAGTAGTGAATTAAAGAGTAGGTGCAGAAATCGACTAATCGTAATTGATTATCTTTCTCACATTCGATTGTGATTGGTTGATTTCTGCGTCTACTCCTTAATCCACTATTGCTACTGCCCATTGTAGACCACGCATAAGATTGGATTCGCTACTGGCCTTACGGTCTCTATCGTGATTGGCCAATTCGCTTAAGCCCATGGCACATACAAAAACGTAAGGCCGTAAGACATAATCAATAAGCGAATTGGCCAATCACGATAGAGACCGT